CGTCAGGGGATCCCCCATGAGCTACCGGGAGCCTTCGTGCTAGCGCGGCGTGTAGGGGGCTGGAGCCCCCGAGGTCGCGGCGTCGGTGCGTTGATAATGAATGGGCGAGGAGGAAAAGAGAGGGCTGGAGTGCTGCTGCTGTGAGCGGCGTTTGCTCGTGGCCGCGGCGTGGCTGTGGGGGTGAAGCTGTGCGCAGGGGGAAGTGCCTCGGCACCCGGCCCCACGCAGTGCATGGCAGAAGAGGCTCCGCAGCACGGCTTTCAATCAGCGTCCGTCCTGCTGCAGTCAGCTGGGCGCCACGCTGTGTCCTGCAGCCGCAGCTCTGCAGCCAGGGCCCATGCTCGATCATAAGGCTGCTAAGGGGCATGCGTCTTTGCTCTAGGAAACAGTGCTCAGAAACATCCTATTATCTTGTATGTATGTGTGTATATATATATGTGCACAGTTCTCTACGAGTCAGGAGCGTGCATTCTTGTATTCTTGCAATGTATAGTACAGGGTAGAGAAGCTCTAGGCTGGAGTCCCTCAGTGCTACCATTTGCACGTGAGTGCTGGCTGCACAGCATGGGGGACTCCACCATGTGATGCCCAAGGAACCTTGGAACCCAAGGAACCTGCCATACTCTCCTGTCCCACGAGCATAGAGATTCTGCTGTGTAATGGAGGACACCACCCACATCTCTCAGAGTCACTCTCGTCCCATTGCTCAGGAAAACCCCATTGCTTGGGGAAAGCCCATGCACGCGGTCGCTCTGGCTGTACTGCAGCCTGGGCACACTGCAGATTGTGTCAGCTGTGCAGCGATGCTGCCCGGCAGCCTCTGGTTCACATCTTCCTTTGCACATGCAGCTATATGCTGTGTTAGCATCATTTTCTCAGTTTTAAGCCACGGTGAGTAACGTAGTGAAGTAGAGCACAATGGCACCATGTTCTAACTGCTCTCTCTTGCTTGGTCTCTCTTCCAGATCTAGCTGCCTTCACACGGACCATGCTCCCAAAGGCTGTATGATCATTTCTGGTGACTGCCAGCGGAGGCTCACTGGGGCCTGTGCAGCAGAGCGGGAGGCCGAGGGGTTCCTGCTGCCCCTCGGGCAGAGATACCGGCGTGTGGCCGACCCGCAGTGAGGTGCAGCTTCGGAAGCGATCAGAGACGAGAGCCGCCGTGAGGTGCTCCGGACCCGGGGGGAAGCAGAGCGGTGGCAGCATGGACAAGGACGGTACCAACCTGGCCGACCAGCAGTATGAGTGCGTGGCTGAGATCGGCGAGGGAGCCTACGGGAAGGTGTTCAAGGCCCGCGACCTGAAGAATGGTGGCCGCTTCGTGGCGCTGAAGCGGGTGCGGGTGCAGACCAGTGAGGAAGGCATGCCGCTGTCCACCATTCGGGAGGTGGCCGTCCTGAGGCACCTGGAGACCTTCGAGCACCCCAATGTGGTCAGGTGAGGAAGTGGGGCCTGCTCTGTGGCGCGTGCACCGGGTGAGCGGTTTGGGCATGGGGAGGGCCGGGCCGCCGATGGGCTTTGTGGATAGAGAGAGAGCTCCTCTGTGCGCATGGAGTGTGGTTTGAGGTTTCGACAGGCTGCGGGGCTGTGCCAGAGCTCACCTCATCCCCGTGCTGCCTCCCACACACACAAACACCCATCTCCAGAGGCATAGGCGTGTGACATAGTGCTGGGGTGGATGGCAAGGAGCCCCATACACACCATTTCCTCAGGCGTGAGAGGGAATGAAAACCCAACAACTCCCTTTGTCCCAGGTATTAGCTCTGACAGCTGCTGCTGATTCTTAGCAGCTCTATTCGTTACACAGAGGTAATGGTTGTAGCGTTAGTGGGATGTGCATTCCACTTCTTTAGATGTTTTTATAAATGTTTGTAGATTATTGTATTAAAGAGGAGGAGAAGCCTAAGACTGAGCTTTACAGGTCTCGTGACTGACTGCTGCTTGTTGGTAAATTCCCCAGGAGCTGCTGGTGGTGCTACCAAGGGTGCAGCAGAATGACTTCAGGCCTTGCTTTCAGCATGGCGGCGGTGCCACCAGGTTTCCTGGCTGTTGTGTTGGTAGCGTAAGCTCTGAATGAATGAGCTTTGTTCTTGGGCAGGTTCCCCATGCTGAGACTGCCTCGTGAGCATCCTTATTTGAATGTCACGGACTTTAAAAAGTGTGCTTTGCTTTGAGATACTTGGCTGCATCATCTTGCTGATGACATTGCATCAATAGAAATATGTCCTGCTATTTGTATTATTTTACTCACACATTACATAGTAAAAGGGAAATATTCCATACTTCACTAGTGCCAAACCTCTGTGAGCCCTGGAGAAATAGAGATGCTGTGGTGACAGAGGTGGCTGTTAGACTGGCTTGTAGCTATGGTCACCATATTTGTCTTAAGGGCTGAGACGAGGGCTTTCATGGTAGTAAATGGAGCAGGACAGATAGGAAAGGGAATAATTAAAATACAAAAGTGAACAGCTAGAAATAAGTTAGTTTTCTTTCATCTCAAGGCAATGTAATAGAACAGTCTCATTTCTGAGCAAACTGAATAGGCAGAGAATGTTTGGTGAAGTACTAGTCATGGAGTGGGAAATGGTTGGAAGTCATAGGCCTCCTTGCTATATCTGAGCAATGGGATGATGTCTGCAGCTCGCACTTTATCAGTACTGGTCAGGAAGATCCACTGTTTGCTCAATAACCAATATTCTGACGGGCACCTGGTAATGCCAGAGGCTTAGTGCAAAAACTGCAGAACTGGAGGCATGTTAGTGTGGGCAACATTTCGTATTTGGTCAATGAATCAGGTGGACTGATGCACCCAAAGACCTTTCTTGGCAATAGAAATAATTAAGAGTTCTTAAAATCTCTGAAATCCAGTCGACTAATATCAGAGACTAGATGTGGATTTAGATGCGCAAGTTTAGATATTTATTTTGAAAATTGTAAGCTTTCTTTAGGAATGATTGAAAGAATGCTTCTGAACTTTGTTTTATCACTGAGATCTTTCCATATGACGTAAAAGATTTTTTGAAGTGCTCTCTAATCCAGAGATCAGAACGTAAGAGCAATTTCAAACGTTATCTCTTCTAAAACAAGATAAATGCTTTTTAAAAGTAACCTCTGTTGTGAAACGAGTGAGCGATGCAAATATCACATCAAATCCATCAGGTCTGAGTGAAGGCATGTGATCCATGAGTTGTTCGGTAGAGACAGTCATTCTGTGAGTCAAAATTTAGACAAACTACCAAGAGTTGAGCTGTATTTGACCTGTGCTGCTGAGCAAGCGTGGTGGTGGTACTCTGTATCAGCTGGTGGCGGCGGCAGAAGCCGCAAGCTGTGTTGTGTTGTGCTGCACTCAAGGGACAGGCTTGGGCCAGCCCAGCGAGCGCTGTAAGGAACTCAGCCCAGGGCTGTCCTGTCTGCATGAAGAGATGTTGAATGTGAAGAGCAGTTTGGGAAGGAGAATCCCTGGTACTTGCTTAGCAGAGAAGTAGCTGCGTGGTTTTGCTGGTGAGTATTGATGAAGGGCCAGCAATTGGCCTGCTGGGCGTAGATTCTCTTCTTTAACATCCTGAGGAATGCTTGATGCAAAAACTTGTTCCTAATGCTAATGCTTCTGATAACGGAGAACATTCTCCATAAAGCAGAAATGACTGAATAGCATACAATAGTTTTAAACAAAATGTTTATCATATTTTTCCATGCTACGTCTTGCTTATTATGTGAGGCTTTGTTTCGTGTCCCTTCTATCCAAGTGTCCTGTTTCCATCTTTGCACCATGCCGTGATGCGTTTCTACAGCACTGCTGCTTTTACTGCAGTAGGTAAATACTAGGTAAGAGATAGTGGCAGGATAAGGCAAGAAGAGGTGCAGGGTGAGAAGTCTGATCTTCAGCAGAAAAATGGTGGTAGTGGAAGTCTCTGAATAGTTAGCTATAAAGGGATTAAGGCCTAGTGGACTGACCAAAACTTTTGTAAGACTAACAAAAATAGAATATTGAAACATGTGGGAAAAAACGCAGTAAGAAGGATGATTGCTTTGCTTTAAAATATTGTCCTGATCACATTTGGCCTTGTAAAAAGCCCCCCGTCAGGGCACCTAACACTATTCCACTTACCTTCATGGAGGGTAAATAGCCAGCAAAAAAATAGCCAGTTTTCAAGAGTAAATGGTAATGTGAATTGTTCTGAAGTGAGGAATGTTGTAGGCTATGAAATGTTCTTAATAACAGGAGGATGATTGAGGTGCTCACCTTTCAGATAAAAGGTAATACTTTATTCAAGCTTTCCTGTATGTGGTAGTTAAATCTGGCTAAAATTGGTCCTGCACTTATGTAGCTTGGTGCTGTTCTCTTTCAGAAGAAATGAAGTATATGTAGACAAAGGATGGGCCTTGCCAGGAATAAATGACATATTAGATTCAGGAAATTCCTGTGTGTAAAACTGGGAGTATTCCCTGCTGTAATATATCTGTAAATTTTTTTCCTGTGATTATATTGCTAAATTCAGCAATATATTGTGTTCATTTTATATCTCTCCTGCTGATAATCAGATGAATAATTTTCCCCTAATGTTAATTATCCATCGGACTGTGAATTTGCACCCTAGGAAGATGATATACAAGACAGAATACTGTAATTCTTGCAGTGCTTGATTTCTAACATGTATGTGTAGGTAAGTACATTTAACAGTTTGAATAGTGTTAAACCATAAGCAAATACAACAAACCTGCAAAGCTGTATTTCTTTGCTTCCTGGCTCTTTTTGGTTTACTATTTCTAATAAGTCTTCCACTTAAAAACGATCAAAATTATATGGAATGTAACCTATTATAATCTATTATAATCTTACCTGGTCTATTATGTTAAAGATAAGTGTCAGAAATCTAGCCGTTGAGGTTCATAATTACCATCTAATAAGGAACTTAAAATCTTATTCCTCTCCTTCCTGTTAAGAAAGGGTAATAGGTGGCGCAGGTAATTGACTTCTGTTCAACAGAGTGATCTGCCCTGCTGGAAGCATAACTCCATTCCTCAGATACGTTTTGTACTTTTTGGTACATGGGTAAATGTGTGGAAAACCCAATAATTACAAGTAAGGGGGCAATTGTCCTGTATTCAAAGTTCAACATTACTTTACATTTACATTTACATACAGTGAAATTAAAATGACACTGTAGATGTTGTGGTAACACAACACCATCATGATGGTTTTTCCTAACATTTGCAATCCAGCGCTCTTATCTGTGGGGTTACACTCGAGAGCGCTGTGGAACCTATCAGCTGCATCCCCTGGAGGACACCTGGCTGCCCCATCCCTTTGTGCCCAGCCACAAAGACCTGCACCTGACTGCTCAAAGCTCCCAGAAGTACACTCCAATGGCTTGGTCCTTAAAATTGCGTTATGCTAAGGCAGGAAGTATCCTTTTCATAACAGCATCTTAAAATTCCCCATCTAACTCAATACAGAGAGCAGTCAGAATCTGAAATAAGTCACTAATATAAAGTAAAGCTTTTGGAAGGTAGTTTGAGCTTGCATTTTTTTTGCTTGTTCAGTTTGTCAAACTGAAGTCCTGTTGTAACTTACAGTGGGAGAGGAGTTTCAAAATGCAGTAGCTAGTTTTTTTTCTCTTTTCAGTTTGTGGCAATGCTGATATTGGCTGCTGTCTTTTTAACTGTGCTGTTAAGAAGCTTAAAGGGTGATGTTCTCAAAATCAGTGAGATGTTCCATCCTGTTAAGTGAAACATTTCTATTTTAGGGGGTGTTTCTCTCCAGTGAATTCTGCTTCCTTCCTTACTTCCTTTTTCTGCCAAGCTAATGTTAAACTTTTAGGGTATGACATCATTCCTACAGACCAGTGGCGTGCAATACAATTCATTTGCGTGTAGCACCACTCATACGCAACTGACAGACTCCAGGAGTGGGTACTTTCCTGTTGCTAGGTATAGGGATTATCTTGTGTGTGAAAGAGTGAAATGAGATGTAGAGATGGGGTGAAGCAGAAGAAACTGAACTGGAAACTTCAAAATTGCCAAGTTTAAAGGAATTAATGTGGCAGATTAGTCTCAACAGAGGTGGATGAGTAATGGGAAGGAAAAATTGAATGAGCCTCAGAGTCAGCTTTAGGCTAACACAAACAAGATGGTCTTCAAGGCAAAATGAGAAGATGGGAAATGCCTTGGTGAGAGGGAGGCACCTTCAGGCTGGGAAGCCCTCAGAGATGGCCCCTTTGCTATCCTGACACAGCTGGGAGCCACCATGAAGGCACTGGAGAAGGGGCTGTGACCTGCACCAAAGGGCTTTGGTCTGCAGGAGAGCAAGGGGAGCGGTGTGGCTGGTTCTGAGAGGGGCTGGGCTGTAGGTTGGGTCTGGAGAAGTTTATTAAATTGGCCATTGTGAAATGGCTGGACGTGAACTCTGGCCTCTCATCATCTGCTTGCAACACTAC